CCCGGGTTACATGGATCCGACTTACATCGGATCCCTACTTACAACCGGGGTGAGGCACCCCCGCACTAGCTACTTCCCCCCAGCAGACTAGGGAGATGCGAAGCTAGCGCGTCCCCCTCCCCCCGCCCAGCAGACCAGGGAGAGGTGGAGCGGCTTTTCTCAGCAGACACCTCAGCTTGAGAATAAAGGACTGAGGGAAGTGAGGTGTGGGAGAATAAAACTGAGCTCTGGAGAAATGTTTGGCTAGAGTTTCCCCTACAATATGTACCAGTTCCGACTTACATACAAATTCAACTTAAGAACAAACCTACAGTCCCTATCTTGTACGTAACCCGGGGACTGCCTGTATAGTTAATTTTTACAGGATATGTTAAAAGTAGTCTCAGGCGTTGAGATTAACTTAGAACTCTGTACCCATGTTTTATAGACGAAAATATTTAAGGCTAGGAAGTTATTTACTAGTAGCTATTGTTCTCTGAAGATATACATCATCCAAAGCCCATATTCCTTCTTCCCCTGTAAATTGAAGGTTCTTTAATCTTCTTAATAATTTTAGTATTCTGTCTCTATCTGTTAAGTTATCTCTAAAGTGTCTAGTAACATTGTCTAGGTACTAGGTTTTTATACATATGAAAATAATTTCACTTCCTTGATGGGAAAAAATTTGCCTGTTGAAGCACATTCACTTTCAGAGACTGAAATAAGACACATACAGTTGAAACAAATGACTTTAGTACTTTAGACTTAGAGAGATCCCTCAAATGTTGCATAGAAGTCAAAATCCAAGAGTAGCAATTTATTATGTATATCTTCATAAAACAATAACACATCATGTTCAGTTTCTACGTGGAAGTGTTTACAGCCACAGCCACAGCCATGTGTCTGTTGTATTTCTTTCCTCCTACCTCAGTACATGCTGCCTGATAGAGTGGGAGGCTATATTAACAACAATGTGCTAACCCTTGAGAGCTCAGCTGAGTGCTAGTTTATCATTTAGTAGCAAGACACTAGTTGAGAAATACTCTACCCTCTGACTCCACAACCTCAATCAAGCTTCACAAACATCATTTCTGTGTACAGTATTACATTGTTTAAAACTCATTGTGTGTGTGTGTGTGTGTGTATATATATATACACATACTCTCATTTTTCAGTTGAAAAAAATTCTCTGGAACCTACCCCTCACCCCATTAATTTCTACAGGGAAATAGGATTCACTTAACATCCTTTTGCTCAAAGTAGCACTTTTCAGGAACTTAACTACAACGCTAAGCGAGGAGTTACTATGCTATGTACAGCTAAGTCTACTGCTAATACCTTTTCTCAGGACTGGGTGTAAGAAGCCATAGGACTGATTTCCTTCAGTTGAGCCAGGAGCTAAGCCTAGCTGAACTGATTGGCTGAAAAGTGCCCATAAACCTGCATGTAAGCTCAGCACAAAGGAGCAGGCCACTTGCTGCTCAACACTAACATCTGCAACTGTGTCTGCCTTGTATCTGGCCTTGCTCTCAGGTTGTTCCTGTCTAGTTTCAATTTGTTCTTGTCTTTTTCCAGCCCTTCTCCATTGCCCAGCTTCTGACTCTGATTCTTGTTATTGAGTCCTGGCTCTGGTCTGATCCTTGGTTTGATTCCTTGTTCTCCATCAAGTGGCATCCCTGTGGATGCTCCACTCAGGTCTCTGTGTGTCCCCGCGCCGCTTATTGGAGGTTTTTGGGGAGCAGTGCCCCTCGTGCTGTGCCTGCGCACTCTGTCTCTCATGCTCCTGCTGTTCATTGAGTGTGTGTGCGGCGCGAGGCTCCCTCAGTTCCTTTTCTACTGTCCTCAACTAAAGATGGAGTCAGAGCAGTGCTCTTCTTTTCTGATGGGAGAGACTCATGCAGCACATAAGTGCCCGCATTGTCTAAATATGACAGCCAGGGCCAGAAAAGATCGCAAAAACCTCCTCTGGGAGAAATCCCTACAACCATCAGGAGTAAGTCTGAGGAGACACAGCATTACCAGCGCTGTCCTGAGCCTCCCATTCCCTAATGCCATCAGTCTCTGGCACCATGGAGAAACACAAGACGACATCAGCCAGGAGAACTGAGTCAGAGCTTAAGCACTCAGCACCGGCTTGTGCCTCTAAGGCAACAGCACTGACAAAGCCGCATATGCCACCTCTGCCAGCCCACACAGGCACCCCTATACTGCCTGAACAAGCCGTCCCTGCAGCCTGAACCTGAATGCACTCCAGCACTGGAGCATAAGAAAGCGTCACATAAGATGCATCATTTGCAAAAAATCCCCACAGCTGAGTACACTTCTGGGACCAGGAACCTGTTTACTGCACTCGCCAGTGTTGTCTCACGCAAATGTGCACAGGCACATGCCAGAAAGGGCTCCCCATTCTCCTATGCTATTGTCACCACAAACTAACTACGGTAACAGGCAGAGGTGTAGATTTTCATCATGCCATTCATCCCTATCAGGATCAGTGGCTTCCTGGCATTCATATTGGGTTCATTCATGCCCAAACCTGCACCCCCCGGTGCCACCTTGGGACTTGAACCTTGTTCTTGACATGCTCACCAGGCCACCCTTTGAACCATTAGCCACTACATCACCACAATACCTGTCCATGAAGGTGGCCTTCATAGTGGCAATAACATCAGCAAGACATGTAGACAAAATTGCAGTCCTCATGGCCGATCCACCTTTCACTACGTTTACAAAAGGTAAAGTTATACTCAGGCCTTACCCTAAGTTCCTTCCCAAGGTCATATCCGACTTCCACCTAAACGAACTCATACACTTATCTTCGTATTTTCCTAAACTACATACCTTCTCCAAAGAGGATGCAAGACGAATTATTGCGTTATACTTTACATAGAACTAAAGAAACCGGAAAGTCGGATAGGCTCTTCATCTCTTGGTCCGGGTCACATAGGGGAACAGCCGTCTCATCGCAACGTATATCCAAATGGATTGCCTGCTGCATATACACAGTTTATGAACTTTTTGGGAAGCAACCACCACAGATTATCAGGGCTCACTTAACATGTACGTTGGCCACAACAATGGCCTTCCTACATAACGTACCATTGGTGGACTTTTGTAGAGCAGCTACATGGTCCTTCCATCACACCTTCACACAATATTACACCCTACAGAAAGGACCCATACCCGCCACATCTTTGGTAGATGCGGTCCTTCCTTCCCCTACATAAATGACTCCAGTGCCCACCGCCGTCTGGCAGTACTGCTGCTAAGTCACCTGAGTAGAGCACCCACAGGGACATCACTCAATGGAGAAGTAGTAGTTACCCTGTTATGCAGTAACGATGGTTCTTTGAGATGTGTGTTCCTGTGGGTGCTCTGCTATCCTCCCTTCCTCCCCTCTGCTTGGAGCTCTTTAATGGACTTCAGGTAGAAAAGGAACAGAGGGAGGCTCGCACTGCTCGTGCACTCAACGAATGACAGGAGCGCAAGACACGGAGTGTGCAGGCACGGTGCGAGGGGCACTGCTCACCAAAAACCTCCGATCAGCAGTGCGTGGATGCTCTGAGACCTGAGTGGATCACCCAGACAGGGACATGCATCTTGAAGAACCATCATTATTGCATAGGGTGAGTAACTAGTTCTTTCTGAATCTTACATTTGTTCCATGTCTCTGGCTCCTATCTCCTGAACCCATCTCTAACCACTAGGTCAGATTGCCCAAGTTCTGTTCCTGACATAGGGTAGCTTTTGTAGAGTACATCAGGCCTAAGAATGGCAATGTACAATTATTAGCATGTAATTAAAGCGTTTGTCCTTATCTGGGAAAGGAAATTGTGTAGCAAGAGAGGATGAAGGTACAGTATTTGGAGTTGTATGTGGAAGCTGGCAGGGTTCAAAACCAATACTGCTCATCTCTTATTTTATGAATTTAAATTCATACTTTATTTGAAAAATAGAACCCAATAATATTTGATTATCCACAATGGTTACCATTTGATCAAATTGAGAAAAAGTCATTTTAAGAAGTGAAACTGTTAGCTGCACTGTCTAGCATATATTTTTTAAAAAATTTTATTTAAACAGTAAACACTTCTCTAATTATTTTAAAAAATAAAATAAAACTATAGGATCACATAACCTCTAAAGAGCTATTCTAAAGCCAAAATAATAATCTGCAAATTGGAATCACATTTGAGAAGTATACATTTAGTTTGTATAATTGTAATGGCAGGATGTTCTTTAACAGTTTTATAATTTTGGGAAATAAAATGTACTGGTAATTTTTTTGTTTTATGTGTGGTCTGTGTGTTCAGCCACAAATGACACAACGGAAAAGGAAGATGACGAGGCAAGTGAAATCCAAGGGTTTCTCTTTGGCAAATTGAAGTGAGTTAATTTAATTTACAATTACATTTCTTCAGTTGTCAAATAGTTGTTTTTGTTCTTAAAATAAAAGTCCAGACATATGATGTGAAAATGTATTGTGGCAATGTGTTGACCTAATATTATCTAAAATACTAGTTTAATTTTGTGTGTTTGTGTACTTCCCTGTTTAACTGTATTTATAAATTATTTATTCTCATTTCAGATTATTAAATATAACATTTTGATATTCTTGGCATATGTATATAACCAAACTTTTTAACAGAAAATGTAGTTGGATTGATACTCTTAGAATGTAGACAGAATCAACTGATTTTCCTAAAGTAAGGCAGAAATTAAAATAAAGAAAATGTTTCTAGTGATGCTGGAACAGTTTGTATAGTGGGAGTGCTGAGAGCCATTGAACCAGACTGTAAATCCAGCACCTCTAGTTCCAGCACCTATGCTTATTTCCCATCCTGCTCCCTGCAACCCCCCTGAACAACTTCAAGGAACACTAGGCCTTCCTTAACAGGGTGTCTGCCAACTTGAACTTAACAATTGAAGAGGTTGTGGAGGAGTCTGACAAATCTTCAGTGTGATCTCCTCCTCCACACCAGCCCAGGTCATGCAGCTTATCCACTCAGGAGTCCCTAAGATTGCCAAATCACTGTGAAAGATCCCTGCCTTTTCTAAGAAGGCAGAAAAGAGGCATTACTTCCCTGCAGAAAGCTTCATAACTCTGTATGCATTCCTTTCAGTGGCAACACTGGTCATGTCCACTGTTAATGAAAAGGGCAGACAGGGCCAGGTCAGTAGTTCATCTAAAAAAAATGAAGCCAAAGGCTGTACTTTTTGGGAGAAAGATCTATTTGATGGCAAGTCCACTTGGCCACTATTTTGGCCTTCCATCCACCACTCAAAGGCAGTCACTGTAGAATTTCACAGCACCACCTTCATTACCGACACCTTTGGCCAATGGGACCTGTGAGATTGTGCTGAGCAGGGCAGTATGTGAAGACTCTGCTCACCTTCCCATGGCGGCACACAAAAGAGGCACATGGCTCCCACAGCCAGCCTTTCTGAACAGCATTCAGGGGTGGGGCAGAAAGAGGAAATGGGAGGCACACAGAGCCCTCTATATGAATGGGAAAATGAGGCACCTTGGTATGTAGGGGAGGAATGGAGAACACACAAAGGTCCTGTCATGGGTGGGGATGTTGCAGAGAGCCCTTGAATTAAAGGACAATAGAAGGCTAGCACATAGGGAGATTCTGGGGATGAATGGAAGGATTCAAGGGACCTCTGGTATATGAAATAAGATCAGCCTGCAGAAGCAACAAAGTGTGTGAACTTCTTATATGTAATACAGTTTGGTAGGTGATTATGGTGAAAATAGTTTAAGGACATATGCAAAATACAATTCTTATGTAACTCCACTTGGTACAAAGTTAATTTCATAGACAACATCATTGTCTAGTTGCTAGAAATGTATTGGTTAAATAACTCATCGACTTATTTAGGATCTGACTTAGAGAATTACTGAGTAATTGCCATTCTCCTTGAAATCATAAATGGAAGCTGTTCATAGTTAGTATTTTCAAGATGAGTCCCTGAAATTGTAACCACATTCATAAATCCTAATCTCTGTTTATAGAAGTGAATTAGAAGTATTAAATTCTTGTTTGTTACCTTAAATATCAAACCATGATGAAGCCATAAATAGTTTTGTAAGTGACGGAGGGAGGTAATTTGATTTTTTTAAAATGTTTTGGTTTAGACAAATGTATCCTGACCTTAAAGATAATCTGAAGGAGTTCAGAAAACACCTAATTGAAAGTGCTAATAACTTGGAACCTCTGAAAGTTTGGGAGTTACAAGGTATGTATTTGGTATGCTGTGCTTGTTTGTTGGTTTGTGCGTTTACTCTTATTTTGTTTAATTCTTCTTTGCTGAGTTGGTGATTATAAAAGCTATAACAAAAACTGCTTTTCTTCTTCAAGTGTGTGTCCCTGTATGCTGGACTTCAGGTTTCACAGTCACTCTAGGACCTGGGGATGTTTCCCTAGCAGTGTCTATCTGGTCCACGCCTGCACCTCTGCCACCTTAGGCTATGTACCAGAGAAAAAAAGGGAGCTGCTGGTCTGCAGTCACTTTGGTTCCTCCTCACTACTCTTGGGAGCTTTAGGGTTCATACTGACTTCTTAACATCTCTCTGCTAATAATTTTAATATTTTGTAGTTAATTTGTTATGAGATATTTTTATGGGTTTGGTTCCCTAATTCTTGGAACTACCAGTCCAGCATGGAGAATTATGTCTGTGTAAGCTCACACACATCCCATCAGCCTAATCTTGGTTATCTTCATTTTCAGAAGTATATGCTAAAAATACTCAGCTTTAAGCGCTGCATCAAAGGTCACAAGTCACTCCTGGTTATATACTATGAAGACACATATGTAAATGCTTTTGCCTTGCATTTGGAAAGGACAAATCATTTCCAAAGTCACATGACTTTGTATAATTTTTGGAAGAAATTAAAGGAGAGGCATTTTCCACTGAGAGGCTGTCAGAATGGATCTTGTGGTGCATCATACTCTTATTAGGTGAACTTTGAAGTGAGAGCACACTCAATAAGAACTCAAGCAGCATAGGTAGCTTCCTTTACAGACGGACCTGTTACTGACATTTGCAGAGCAGCAACTTGGAGCTCTGTTCACAGTTTTGCTAGACAATACACAGCAGCTCCTGTTGGCTGTTTGGGCAAGACAGTTCTGCAGTTTTTTGTGACATAGGACCCAACCAGATACCCACCTCCTTGACAGAGACACTATTTGTGAATCACCTTGTTATAAATAGGAGCTGCTAAAGAGAATCTGACTTACCTGAAGAGTGAGGAAAGGGTTAAGCAACTGGAGATGCACCTAAGGAGGGGGTTCGGGCAGCCAGCCAGTGAAAATGCA